CTGCCGCCTTCCTGCGGCCCAGCCGCTCCCGGCGCCCGGGACAGCCCGCACAGCGACCCCCGGCGGCTCCCCGGGGCGGTCCAGCCGAACATGTCCACGTTCACACAAGGAATTTCTCCTTCGGAACAAGCCGACGTCCAGCAGCAGGACAGCTCCAGAAGAGTCAGGCTCTCCAACTAAAGCAAAGATATGAACTGCAGTATTGAGACTGAGGGGATTTCTGGTGGCGAGGAGGAATCTTTGCTTGTGGTAGCTGAAACAAATTGCTCTAGAAAATTTTTTTGCTGGAAAGGGTTAAACAGAAGTGAAGAAGATGCAGAAAATGCAGATGTTTGACGTTTAGTCCTCTTCGCACCACAAGAGGAACGCGTTGTCAGCAATGGGCAGCCAAAGGATGAGCACCCTGAACACGCTTGGGAACGTGCGTGTACTCGGATACTGATGGCTTTGGTGGGGTTTAAGCTGGATTGGCAGATACGGAGGTATGATTTAAGAAGTGAAGAAGTTCGTGAAAAACACCACACACAGTTTTAATAATCAGGAATAGGAAAAACAGAAAAAAGTTATGACTACAAGTATGCATGTAGAAATATGGTGAGCAAAAACTAAAGGCCTTGGGGAGAAAAGATTATCAGCAGCCAGTGGACTGTAAGATCCACAAAGAAACTAAGAGCAAACTGAAGCACGAACACTTGTAAACATAGGCAATAAACCAAAGCATCTTTTATTAACACATCAAATTAAGTACTTTAATGGTAGAAGAAACTTGCTGAAAAACAGTCATGACTGAAAGACAAACACCAAAAATCATTCACATTCCAGAATCAGAAGCTGCAAAGAAGGAGGAGGCAGCAGAATGAGTTACTACCCAAGTATTGGCATGTTTACCTCATGAAGCATCTTTGTAAAATGTTGTGATGTGTATTTAAGGCTTTATCATAGGAGGACCAAATATTTATTAGTTTCCAGAGGCTCACTTAAAAATACTTCAAATATTTATACAGTCAAATCTATAGTATCTGTGTATTTGTACTTTGAATTAATTTCTATTAATCAAATAGAAATCCTTAATGACCTGTCCAACAACAAAAAAAAAAAACAAAAACAAAAACAAAGTTTCATGTTCAATTAACGTGACAGTAATTCCTTACCTGAAGATAAAAGTGCATTTCAAACATATTTTCAGTTGCTAGCAAGTGCTCGTACGAAGTTAATTTTAAACAGTGAAAGGAGGAAAAACTTGTCCAAGGAAATTAGTTCATATTTTTGTGCTGCAACAGGAAAAGTCAATTAAAATAAAATAGGTACTTGCCTAAACAAGGGAAAGCATTTCCTTATGAAACTGCAGTGTATGTGCTTTACTGCTGACTGGTTTTATCTGATTGTTTAAGACCTGGCTGTAACTTAACATTGCGCAACTATTTCACCTTTCATGTTTTGCAGACTTGGGATGCAGCTTTGGCACATACTGCAAGAGCACAGACAAATAAATGCATTTTTGAACATAACGTACGCTTAAGTAAGAAATATCAATGCCATCCTAATTTCACACCTGTTGGAGAGAATATTTGGGTTAGAAGTCATGAAACATAAAATGTTGCTGATGCCATTAAACTGTGGTATGATGTGGTCAGATTCTAAATTTTCACAGTGCAGAACTGTACTAAGGTGTGTGGTCATTACATTCAGGTAAGAGTTACCTTTGGTAAAATGCTCTGTATAGTGCCTGCCAGATAAATCAGCAGCAGCTGTAAATAATACAGAGTTGCATATGTGATCAGCAGCAAATAACAGCTTACTGTCTTTTGTAAGCTCAAAAAATTACTGTACTGCGTTACCCCTGCACTGGTTCACCTCAGTATCTTGTGTAATAATCTGCTCTTCTTTTCCGCAATAATTGACCTCAATGAAAGCCTCATTCCTCATTTTATTGTATCAGTACTACATGAACTTTATAAAATAATATTTTCCAGTTCTCTAGTCGCCAAGCCACACAGTTCAGAATTCTTTAAGTTTGGAGATGCTGTTGAAAGTAATCAGAGTCATCGCGGAATGTCTGTGGGTATTCCTCAGTAGAAATGTTGGCAGAAGAGAAAATCCAGCCAAAGTAAATTGTATTCTTTACAAATCTCATAATAAAGAAAAAGAAAAAAAAGTTCATCGCCAACAAAATTTATTATTTCTGATTTTTCAGTGGTAATTCTGAGACACTTAATTCTGCTGAGACTTTAAAGCTTTCCTTTGAACAGTTAATATTTAAAATTTAAGTATGCATTCCCGTGCTCAAAAAATAAGCTTTGCAGTAGAATTAGTTTCATCTATGAGCAAACACATAATATTTCACTGATCTAAAACAGATGATAATTTCAATGTCAAGTAGATCTTGTCTAGTAAAAGCAACTCCTAAATTTCTTATCTCAGTGTTCAAAGATGCTTAGACTGCTCTCTTTGTAAATGACAGATGAAAATACTGCACAGTGTACTTAGAGAGAAACTGTTACCAGACACAATGGTAGCTGTGAGATTCTTTTTTAGTAGACTCTGGACTGCGAAATGAAAATACTTAAAGTTACCAGAATCATTTACAGAGCATTTTCTTTGCAGCGCTTTTTATATCTTTTCTAACTTTTTTCTCTGCAAGTGTTTCTCTGCCCCTGGTTCTGCCTGTAACAAACTCAAAAGCAATACTGAAGGGTTTAAGTTTTGCTGTTTATTGGGCAGTTAATCTTTAGAAGACTAGAACTAGACAGTATCTTAGGACAGTATTTCTCTTTTTTTTTCTGTGACACAATAACCTATAAAAAAATTACTTAGCAAGGTATTTTTTAAATTTTAAT